AAAAGTTAAAAAATAAAAAATAAAACTTAACTCTCTCTCTCTCTCTCTCTCTCTCTTATGCTTAATATTTATTAATCTTGAAAAAATATATTTTACATATCTAGTCTCCTCTTTATTTAGTTTAACGATTAACTTTAATTATATTCTATTGCTATAATTTCTTTCTTAATCCTTTTAATTACTTTCATTAAGAAGTTCATTAAAGAAAAGTGTCAATGTAAGTTCCAACATTTGTTAGAAGTATTAAAAAAATTAAAGTACACTTTATATAATAACTTATTATGTTTAGACTGTGTATAGAGTTTAACGAACTTATTCCTTTACATCACCTACACCGTCAGGATTTATGGCAAATGTCGCTTCGCTCTCTGGTAAACATGGTGAATCATATATCTTGCATATTCTAGTTTCTCCTCTACCTTTACGCAAGTATAATCTCGTTGTACTCGAATGTGCCAAAATGTGACCACCAATCGGTTTCTTCTGATCACCACCAAACATACTAGCAGCACCATCCACTTGTGCAACCACCTGATTTGTTATAACAACGGCGATCCCGTGTTCATCTGCCAGCCGCAGCAGCATCCTGAGGAATCGTGCCAAATGATTCTGCCTGGCAGCTAACTCACCTCTGCCAGAATAATCGGTTCTATATAAACCAGTCGCACTGTCAACTATCAGCAGGGCATATCTTGCTTCTGTCATCATGGCACTGGCTTGAACCAACAACTGAGTCTGATGATCAGTATTATATGCTCTGGCACAAGCAACGTTGTCAAGGATGCTCTCTCCATTGATCTTGTATCTCTCAGCCACTGCTAGCAATCTCTGTGGTCTGAATGTACTCTCTGTATCTATGTAGATGCATCTGCCCTCAGCACCGCCCATACAAATCGGCAGTTGACAGTTTACAGCAAGAGTGTGACATAATTGGGACTTTCCCGATCTAAACTCTCCAAAGATCTCTGTAATAGACCCGGTTTCTATTCCTCCGCCCAACAGTTTATCCAATTCTGTAGAGCCAGTAGTAATATAAACAATATTAGCACGTGTCTGATGTATCTCTGTGGCAGTCTTGAAGCCCATCATAACAATCTTAGAAGCCTCCTGCAGCATCTTGTCTGCTTTTGCCTCACTAATGCCCTTGATAGTTACAAGATCCTTCTTGGGTGCAAAGGCCACTGATTCAACAGTGTGGTAACCAGCTTCCTGCAGTTTCTTAATGTCTCCCGCTGTGATGCCATTTTTCTGTACATTGATAAATAATACGAGAAAATAAGTGAAATATTGTAAACATGTTTAAACATGCAGACATAAAATATATGAAGACATGCCGACATAATGTAAAATTGAAATTACACAACATAACTCACCTCCAGTGCTTTAACTAACTTTGCTGGAGTATATTCGTCCGCGTCGTCTTCCGCAAGGAGAGTCGTTGTTGACGCAATCATTTCCATTTTGACGATGAAGTATTGTCACCAAAAACACTGTGCTTTAGGTTAGTATGTCCGAGCTTCAAACTTGAATACGTTTGTGCGCCAAAATGTCACGTGTGGTTATCATACTGCAACATGTATGCACACGTACGCAAGCATGCGCGTTTAAATCAGTTGAAACCAAAACCAAGGCGACAGCTGCAAAACGCTCTGCAGAGCACATATGCGCGAATTTCGATTGGTACGTATGAATCCGGTCTGTCGGTTGGCAGCTCTGGCACCAGGAAATTACAAACTTTACCACTCGAACTTTTTAACGATTTTGTAATAGTTTTGCGCTTTATTTCATAATATATGTTATAATAATCTATTAACTAATCTTAGAAACTGTTATATATACAATTTTGTTTTTTAAACACAAACACACACACGCTCACATACACAAAAATATATGTATAACATAATTGTTTCATATAATTTTTTATATCAATTCTTATTAATAATTATTAATTCTATGTTCACAAGAAATAACAATCTTAAGAAATACCAATATGTGAAATAAAATATATAAATAGTAAATTTATATTTTACATAGCATTGCTTCAGAACAGAAATCAGTTGTTCTACATCATTCGATTGATTATTCTGAAATTTACGTAAAATTGCGCTTAAGTATATAAATTTCTTTCATATTATTATACATAAGATTACATATAAGATAGATTAATTTAATCATTCAGAAAATCTTTACATAGGGCAGTTATTTTTTATTATCACCAATTTTATGTTGATTTTAAATCCTTTACATACATTGGTCCTATAGTATTACTACATACCATCTTTGTGAAGCAGTGAAAATTACATTATTGTAACAATTTTCATTTTTACACATATAAATTATTTTCTTCTTCCATTGGCGATGTTCGTCATCATATTTGCTTAAATATTAAACTGAGCGTTTATATTAATAAAAAAAACTGTATTTTATTACGCGCATGAACAAATATATAATCATTAAAAATTTATACTATCATTAGTATAATCTGTAAATACAAATGTGAGTTACGTATTCGAAAATTCTTATTTAGTATATTTTTCGAGTTGTTATATTATTTGTTAGTATATTGTGCACAGAACTTTGTTTTTTTTTTTTTTTTTTTTAGTAGAAACAATTACTGTGCACCATACAGATTTTATATATGCTCTTTTGTGTCTAGATCTTTTCATATTAATTGGATAATTATAGCACAGTAATTGTGTCTTGTAAAAGCTTAGCATGTTTGATAAAAAGAATTAATTAGTATTATATGATCTTTCTGCCTAATAGTGCTTCATAATTAATAATACATATTAATATGAGTATAAAAGTAATTTTATTAGTTATAAATTCTCTACAATATTAATATATTTGAAAACATTAAACATTTTTTATTGCTATCTTGTAGAATAAATTTTCGCCATTTTGAAAGAAAAAAAATTGATATAAAAAAATTTATATGCATACAATCGAAATTATCAAAATTTTGAATCGTTTTCACGAACTAATCGAGAGTGAACAAGTATAGAAAAATTTTCATGAACATTTAACTAGTACATAAAGTGCAAGATCACCATTTTATGCATATATATGTGTGTGTGTGTGTGTGTAAACAAATTTTCTTATCTAATAATAATTAATAATTTGTATGATATAAAGCATTCCTTGAGAATGTAGTCTTAGTGTAAATAATTTCAATGATTATGTACATCTATACAAGTCAAATTCGGAATCAAACTATTTTTGCACCAAATTGCTTATAATGCACATAATTGCACAGCAAACTTCGTAACTTTTATCAGATAAATGTGTACAAACGTATTTTTAGTCTCATTATCGTACTTTTTTTCAAATCTTATTTAACATCTCAATTGTATTTACAAAACAATGTTAGGCCTATGAAACTTAGACTTTTATGAAAAGATATATCATTGAAAGAAAAATATATTAATGCTCTCTAATGCATTAATTTGATTCAACAAAACTTTTCTTTTTTAAATACTATAGTTTTATTTTGTCACATAAAAATGGTAATTCGATAATTTGATATGATTTTTACAACTACAAATATATTGAACATATATATTGAAACAGAAATATTAGTTTGCTGAAGAATAGATATTAAAAGTAAGAGGTAAATTCTAGTATTATTTTCTTATATAAAATTAACTCGTGACAAAAACGACTAAAGAATAAAGAATATGTCAATAATTGCAAACAGACATAGGTTATTAAACGACTCCTAACTGTACATTACTTCGTAATGAGTATTATATTTTCTTTTTTTCCACTATTGTCCATTGAATATCAGTATACTATTTGTATTTATATGTAACGTGACAAGGACACATAAAATGTCATTGAGAAATAGAATCAAAAGTTACCATTTCCCTGTTTTGTAAAAACAATATCTTCTGCTTTATATATTTTCTTATAAAATATTATCTCATAAACAGTTTGGTGTTTTGTCTTAAAACACAACTCAATATATAACTTTTATTGAACAATATTTGCATTGTAATAAGAAAAAGATTTTAATAAGATAGAATTGCACAAACTTCTACATTATGATCAAATTATGAAAAATAGTATTTATATATATATATATATATTAGAAGTTTGCAAAAGCTGGATTTTTAATATTTTTTTTCTTCTTTATGAATAATAACGAAGCAATCGCACAGTTCAACCAGTTCATACGTATTTATTTTATCCTTCTGGATTTCTTAAATTGTTTTTAATGCCGAGAAATTATTAATACTTAACTTCAAGTCAATCTGCAAGATCTTTTAACGTTTGCATTGAGTCGACATCGAGCAATGCTTGAAACTCATCTTATAATTCCATCTATGCAGTCTGATAAACTTTTGCAAGCTCCTAATATTCTAGATAAGTATAAATAAATCATTTATATCAGTCAATTTTCTTATAGAAATATGTTATATTAAAGAAAATCAAACTTGTAGATATGCTTTTTCATTCTATACTTAGCATTTGTTCTCTCTTTTTCTTTCTCTGTCTCTCTAAATGCTATTAAACATATAATATAGACACAAAAATTGCACTTATAATTTTTCTTCTTTTTTTAAATAGAAATTTTTAATACAAAATTTGGTTATATCCAATTTATCTTAAAATGATCGTTTTGCATAAATTATCATTTTTATATAATACTCAATTATATATAAAAAAAAATAAAAATATGATTCTTACTTCAACATATCGTTAACAAGTTAATGTTAACAGGCATAAAAATATTATCGATCGCTGATTAAACATGACATGTTTATGTCATGCTTATGCGTAAGTTCAACTAGCTTTCACAGGACTGTAATCTGTTTTTTCTGGATTTACAATAACTTGTATTACATAACCTGGCTGTACTTTTGCTTCTTCTATATGCATTTTATCACCCAGCAGTTTACCACCAAAAAACCACCTTTGACGTGATGGTTCCAAACCTTCTTGACTCTATTGCAATTGCGATAGCAATTATTGTGTAATACATACATACATATTTGATTGAATATAATTAATATTATACAAACCTGTAATTTTTTCTTAGCGATACCAATGGTATCATTACTATAAACTGGCAGTTTAACTTCTCCTAAAGTAGTCGATAATCTAAGTTTCAACATTTGTTCTGTTCCTCCATCAATTGGTTCTATGCAGAATATAGTAATAAGATAAAATTGTTTATAAAGTTATATTTAGATAGTTTTCTGTAAAATTTTATTACCTGAACAATCAGCAGGGGAATCTCTTCCATTGTCTTCCTTTACGATATTAATTGGGTAGGACAAACAATAAATAGGTACTTGATAACGAGTTCCTAACTCGTCATAACATTCAGTTAAGAAACCATTTGGTACAGAAATATTAGCTCCATCTAATATAGCCTGTGCCAATTGATAGTCTTGTGCTTCCGCTGCAGTTGCACCTGCCCTCAATGCATCCCAGATTTCCTTGCGGCCGTCAAATGCTGGTGCAGTATCCCAAAACTCATCTCGCTTACTTCTCAGTTGACCCTCGGTCAAAGGTACATCCGATTTCCATCTGATCACTTCGTGACATAAAAGATGATTTTTTCTTGAATTTCCTTTATAACAGATAAATAAAAATTAATTGTTTTGTTTCTTCTTCTGTTAAAATTAATGTATGTTTTAAATATCACTCTAAGTTTACTACATAATCTGTAGTAGTTCTTGATTCTTTATACTAAGAAATAATATATATCACAAATTTATTATTCATGTAATATAATGTGTAATAAACAAGATAAGTAGCCTTTTCTTAATTTGATTGGTTATTTAGATTTGTGTTTTGTTTCAAATATAAAAAAATCTTTGACTTATTTATTTCTTATTGTATTTGGATGGAACTATGTACACATATTTAGACAACACAGAAGACTAGAAAGCATTATATTGGCTTGCAGAATGTCTAAATATCTTACATATTCCTCACAAATATTTTTGTTATTCATTTGGATAGTTGGGTAAAATTATGTGTTTATATGTTTAAGCATTTGTCAATAATGTAATCTAGTTCTAAATTGTACAATAAATAATAATTAGTTGTATAGTGAACTAAAATTGTGTTAGAAAGTTTTGAGTAAAAATCGACTACATACTCTACTTATCCAATGCTGTTATATTGATGTTCCAGTATTATTTACACTTTTATAAATATTGCACTTAATTAAATAGAGATAAATGATATACATATACGTATGTTTAATGATAATTGTACTTCAAATATAAGACCAAGAATTAAATTAAATTGACATCAAGGTTAGTTAATGCTCAATGAATCTTTTATATGATAATTTTGATCGTACAATCTCACCTGAATTAGTCCTTGTTGAATTTTCTGACGTATCATTAACAGAGGCATTTCTTGCCCTAGTTATACCTATACAGCCTCCCATTCTACGTAACTGGAGCAAATAAACATTTCACTAAAATTTAATAATACTTCGCATGACATTTTCTTCCATCTTATCCAATCGAATCATCATCGTGGCCATATTGCATGCTCTCCAATAGAAAAAGGGTTTAGGTCTTTGCTAGATGTGGTTTAAATCTCAGCTAGAAGCAGAATCGAGTCTCCATTGTAAGGTTCAAATCTTCGCTGATTTGTGCAGTAACTCTGTTAGAATTTAATGTATGAAAGCGCCATTATTTATCATCTTTCTTAAAATTTTTATTTCTAACAGATATCCAAAGAGTGTCATAAAAGGAAAAATAAGTTTATTGTATAAAAATGGTTATTATTGGTAATTGTATGGTTATTTTTTAGTTAATCGTATTCACTTTTTAATTGTTACATCATTGGCTCACGAATTCCACACTATATTCATAAGTGGCATTTGATTGGTGCATAAATTGGACCGTTTCCCTACGCATACTCATATGAGCCAATCCATTTCCTTATGCTTATGCTTATGCGTCTATGCAAGTTTTTCTGAATATACCTTTATACTGATATCGTGACGTATCGTACAGTTTTCCACTGACTTTCCTCAAATGGATCAATACGAAAATGCGCGCACATCTGTTTCTCGCTTATCCTCACTTGCTTTACTATCAAATTGCGGACAGTTCTTGTCCGTATCTACACATGTACATTCCGGAGAGATGTCAAAAATAATGACAGTACTTTCTGTTGATTAAAGTCATTCAAATTGACAATAGTGCTTATTTTTACTTAGGGTTTTATTGTTGGAGCTTAATCGTTGCGATACAAAACGTTTTGATATATATCTGTGTATAAAGTGAAAGTGAATTCGTTTAATTAGACACGATGGGAACCAGATTTGCAGCATGTAATTACTATTTGCTATATGTTATTTTTTGTTCGTCAGAAAATTAAATATTGCAATTTACACTCGTACTTTTGTGATACATTTAAGTATGCTTATATATTTATTTTAAACACAAATGTCATGTTTTTCAAATGGTTTTTAATATGCGATAAACATATTTTCAATATGTGGAAACAATATTTTTATAGAAATTTTAAATTACAGATAGTTTAAAGTTGACTAGTTTGCATGATTATTATCAACGACTACTTCACGGGAGTCAGCCGATGCCTTCCGGTTTGGACATTGCGAATACATTGAAATATTTTTCTCAAACCTTGTTATGTAAGTAACTGCATATTGTGTAATAAATTATATATAATATGCTTTCCATATTTATTTTTTTCATCTATCTGATGGTTACTTTGAGTTTTTGTTTCTTAACTACCGTCACTTTGATATTTTATCAAATAAAATATAACAAATTTAAAACTTTTTAGCTCTATTAAAAGAAGTACGCGAAGTGCCGTTCGAAATGATCAAAACACAGAAGTTTGATGGGGAACGGATGGCATTATATCCAAATCTGGATTATAAACAGCTTTACAATGCATTGACGCAGTTAATTGATGTTGTGCCGTTGATCCACATTGGTTTACAAGGTTTATCTTCGTTATAGTTGTTACTATTAAAATAATTAAGTGAAAAAGTTATTGATCTTTTGAGAGTGACTTATTTACTTTTTGTAATTGTAGATAACATTCTAATTATAATATTTTTTTCTTTTTCCATGCTACTCTACTTCTCTTGTTAATTAACTTTCATAACTTTATGCATATAATAAGTACACGTAACATTTATTTTTTAGCGTTTGGGAAAGCTTTGTTGCAGTGTCTGGCATGCTTATTGCCGTTTCTCGATCACGATCTGATTGACAATTTATCGTACTTAACTGCTAGTACGATATCGGTTCTTCCCATGGAGTTACATGAAGAAATCGTCAATTACCTATGTTTTTACATTTTACCATTTACTATCAGTAAGTTATTTTATTACATATATGTACTAGTATTATTTAGATTTATGCAATATACAACAAAAACATTTACTTCTTTTTATAAAAGAGAACAACGGGTAGCGTGTAATGCGTTAGTTGATAAAAAATTATGTGTCACTTTTAAATGTTCTTTGACAACATGTATTTGACAAATGATAAATGAGATATTAACTGAATGTTTGAAATTTTCATTTTTAATTTTTAGACTTTTGTGTGACAAAATTTTAATCATACTTAGTTTTTTAAATTTTTATATTAGTTGATGCATCACATGCCTAATAATGACCTTTTTTGTGGCAATCATCTTTAAGTTTTTTACATTTTTGTTTAAACATATTTTTGCATTTTTATTCAATGCTGACATATTTCAGATTCTCATTTAAAATGGGATATTCTGTGATGCACATATCTCAATTTTCAGCGAGAAGAATCGAAATTGGGGAGGAGAATGCTGCTAGTCAATCAGTAGCTGCTGTTATAATGATGGTATTTCAATATTCCAATAATCCAGGTATTGTATATATGTATGTATGTATAATATCGAAAGAATAAAGTTAATAAATATATTATTGATAAAATTATACATTAAGTAATGTCAGCACATATCGAATTATACGTTTGCATGTATCATGTGCTAGCAATCTTGCGCTTTTTGGTAAACCATTTTCTCATTGCAAAAAGATAAAAAGGAAATATTAAAATTATAAAAATATTTTTTAGCGCATCACTGTCAATTGCTGGAATGTCTGATGGCTTTGAAACCAGGAGTCGTCAAAGACATACTTTGCGTTGTTGCTTACGGTACTGCGCCGGCGAGAGCATCTGCTGCAAAATTACTTTTCTACTATTGGCCGTCGTTCAATCCAAATCTATTTGATCGTCGTGCGGTGTTGGTAAAATTTGCTAGTGAGTATATCATACAATTTGTGTGATAATAAATACACACGTGTGCTCATGTTCTCCGTTCTATACAATTGCGCAAACAATGTTCCTGAGATAAAATGCGTGAAATTATAATTTGCATTTTAGATGATCTCACTCCGTTCGTGTGCCAACGAGATAGCTGCCCGAATGCTGGCAACGCAGAAGCTGGTAAAGTTTGTTACGATCATCGCATCTCCATCACATTTGCTAGCGAATCTCCGCCTCCTCTCTATCTTTGTATCGAGTGTGCAAACGAGATACATCGAGAACATCCGAATCAGATGTTTTACGATATTTTGCATCCGATGCAACAGGTGTCTATGATTTGCGAGAACAAAGTAAGTACATCATCAAATTCAAGTTCATTCGTAAAGGAAGTTTCCTTAGTACTGGACAGCGCTTAAAACACCAGACAGGTACTTTAATTCTTAAATACCAAGATTGAAATTAGCGCTTTTATTTACAAAATGAGCAGAAGAAATGGACCTGATAAATGAATAATGCGACTAACTCAATATTGCACAAAATAAAAATTTTGTTTTTACACGTCTTTTTACGATATTATTGCATTGCATAAAAATTTTTGCTTAAAGTAGCGAATGTTTGAAGAGAAATCTATTGCATTTTATAATTTATCATTAGGGTAAATTTATCAAGAATTAGTGTTTTAATTTTGATATATCCGGCATTAGATGCCTTGTTTTGTTTAATTTAAAAAATTGGAGAGAATATAATACGAGGGTAAGTTAGAAGTTATCCGTAATTTTTTCAAGCAAAACATAATTCGGATATTGCGGATAATTTCTGACTTATCGTAGTATATTAAAAGTTAATTGTTGATTTTTTGAAATTTCATTTTGACATGTGTAATTCTAAGTTGTAATTAGTGCTATTAATAGTTTTATAATTACATAAACATTTTTTTGCCAAAATTTTAAGCTGAACATTTATATTATTTACTTGACTATTCAATGTGTTATCACAATATTGATTTTGTTCAATTAGAACTGCAGAGCGGCGGACAAATCAGCTATCAGCATTTGCTTCTCAACAGAATGCGCGAGTTATAATGGAAATCATCCAATACGATATTGTCAGCAGTGTCACAATATTCGTCATAACAATCGTCGTGGCGGTGATCATGTTTATCATATGGCACTTCCACACATCTCCCAATTGGATTCGCAAACGCAAACTTATATGGTTCAAGCTATTGTCAGGCAAGTCATTTTAACAATTGCAGGTCATTGCTTTTGCTCTTTTAGTCTCAGAAACTAAACTCGCGACTTTTTCATTTTACAGTTTGCTGAGGGAAGCTGAACCGCTAAGTATCGATAGTAATCGTGACACGGACATAAGTACTAGTACTACTAATAAGGGTGGTATAGGATTCTCAGGTGGCGGATCCGGAAGCGGGAGCGGTGGCGGCGTTATCGGTAATACGTTTGGAGGTCACTACGATCCTACAAGTTTGGAGGAGCGACAACTCCTTGGCAGATACGGCGTATGGCTGCTCGTGGGACTTTGTACCCCTAACGAGGATACCCCGGTTGAAATACTGGGCCGTTTGTTATCAATGTTATTTCATTGGTTTCATGTCACTGCCTACTGTTTCGATGGTATTGAAAAAAGACTTATACATCTTATCTTTTCTGTTGGTAATTTAACACTTTGCATATATACACTTTACTCAAGTAGAATGTAGCCAGATGTAGGAGGTAGCATGAGTCGGCTAGATATGTATGCAAGATATAAATATATGTGTGTGTGTGTTTTTCCACCGAATCTGACAGCATGCATTATAATTTTGATGTACCGTGTATGTAACGTATGCGAAGTAAGTAAGATGCTTTGCCGTTTAAATATTAAAAGATATATATTAGATTTATACTACGTGAAATGGTTGATGTTTGACGCAATACGTCAATTCTTCTGTATTGTATCAGATTTGGCGGAATGCTCGCTTTATATATGCAGTAACGTGCGTAACGTTCGCGTTACTTTTTATATTATTTTAAGAAAAGTATAAAAGTGTATATTGATACAAATTATTCCGAAATTGATTCAAAAATATTTAATTGAATTCAATCTGTTCTGTTTTACAGATTCCGTTTTATAAATGTTTCGAAAAATATTAATTTAAGAGTTAAATAATAAAAATTATACGCAGCATCGATCTATGTACACACGTCTCAACACACACACATATCTTCAAGTTTGCATTTAAATATCGACTTTGAAAAATTTCTTAAACGCTTTGCACGATAATTCGGAAAACGATAAATGTCAAACATGTCAATGTTTGTGTTTCGATCGTTTTAGATGTTGCTAGATTGATTCAATGATAAATCACAATGACATTCTTAAATCAATTTTAACATATTTATTTCACCATAATTAATTTCTCGATCAATTGAAAATCTTTTAGGCCAAGCAGAAAGCGCGCTTGAAAAGCTGAAGACGGAGTACATCTGCGGCTGGCTTTCGGAAGTTATGAAAACACATTACGAAGTATTCATTTCCTGTCTTCTACCGCATCCTGCGGACTACGTTAGGGTTGGAGGTCATTGGTAAGCATTTATAATATCTAATACTCAATATTGCAGCGCTGTCAGAGCGATTCTTCACGTCGTACGGCCAGAGAATAGTCGCCCAATCATCCCCTTACTCAGTATAAACTCCAAGCAATTCTTATATCTATGCCAAACAGACTCCTCTTCTACAACAGAAATTATATCTAATGCTCAATATTGCAGCACTGTCAGAGCCATTATTTACGTCGTACGGCCAGAGAATAGTCGCCCAATCATCCCCTTACTCAGTATAAACTCCAAGCAATTCTTATATCTGTGCCAAACAGACTCGTCTTTTGTAAGAGAAATTATATCTAATGCTCAATATTGCAGCACTGTCAGAGCGATTATTTACGTCGTACGGCCAGAGAATAGCCGCCCAATCATCCCCTTACTCAGTATAAACTCCAGGTAATTCTTATATCTGTGCCAGACAGACTCCTTTTCTACAGGAGAAATTATATCTAATCCACAATATTACAGCACTATCAGAGCCATTATTT